ATAGCCGGAATCGTCCGGGGTGGCATGCATGCATTCTCTCACCTATTAGACAAGCTTCCCCGCCTGCGGGTAGAGTCCGGATAATCTGGCCTATGAGGATGAAGTGCCGGACCTGGGGAAGTTTAGTCATTCAAAAGCTATTTTATAAAGCCTTTTTAAAAATTCATGCATATCTGATTTAGAGATTTTAACCAGCATAAATCGCATTAGTAACTAATTAAAATTAAGAATTAGTTGCATTAGTTTTAGGAACATTGTACCATTCATAAGTGTGGGATCACTTAGGAATTTCTCTAATTTGTCAATCCCAAATTCAGTGTCTAAACCACCCACCCTTCTTCATACAGACTGGATAGCATGGATTTTACACGATTAGGAGGTTTTAGCTGGCTTCCTTTGTCAGACAAGGAATAAGTCCAGATTGCATTAGCTAGGTCGTGGATGCTAGTGTTGTGTGTACAACACTACATCTTTTATAGATTTAGGATCTAAAGGTGAGGGGCACAAGTGTACCTCCATACACCTTATTGGTAGGTAAGTTCTCCATTCTTTCGGAGACTATAAATCCTACCCATCCGCGTCACACAGATGACGCCCCCTCCTTCCTTCTCTCGTGCATGTTTGAGTGCAGTGTCTTCTCTCTTTTTCTTTAGTTTTCTCTTTCTCGGACCGTCCGGATGTTGAGTGAACCTCGTGTGATCTGATTGAGCCAATTTGGGACCTTCTTTTTGATTAGGAAAACCTAGGAAACCCTTCGCACTAAACCCACTTTAGAGGAGATAATCTAACGTCCTTAATCGAGAGTTTTCTTAGATCAAGGTCTAAGATGTAATTAACTACGGGGGCTTGCGCCCGTAGGAAGCCGATCCCCACAATCAAATAAACCCCATTCGAGTTGATGTATCGAATGGGGGAAATCTCGTGCACTTTTGGGTTATAGATATTATTATCCATCGAGGTTGGTAGGTGAAAGCCGTTATCCTCCATGGCTAATCGTATCTATAACTCCATCTGCTCTTCCATCGGCCTGCTTGTGCCGAATGTAAAGGTCTACGACCATTTTTGTCCTACGGGATAGTGTGATCGTACCCTTTGCATTCGAACCACACGAGCGGAATCCTTTCGGAGACCCACAGGATCAAACCACAATTTGGGTTACCAAAAAATCTCCAATCATGAGATGCTTATTGTAAAATCGAGCGGCTTGACGAGACGAATCCAACGAGCCCAAGATCATCAAATTATGATATCATCAAGATAGGCAAATGTCCATTGAATGATGCATGATCATGGGAATTAAGATCGACCGTCCATCCGAACCACTCCCAATTTACCCTTGATCTTCTATTTATTTACAAGTCATGCCACTCAAGAATTCTATAAATAGAACCTCATTTCTCTTGAAACAGGGGGCAAGAGCCAAGAGAGAAGAAGGAAGAGAAAGAAGAAAGCTCCAGCAGCCTAGCTCCTCCTTGACCACCACCGGAATTCTGTCACACCACTGCCGAAATTCTGTCACACCACTCCCAGATTCTGTCGAACCACCACCAGACTATTCAAGATCGTCAAAGTTGTTGAAACTTGAATAGGCTGTTAAACTTAAGCTTATGTCCCAAGGCTAACCAAGAGGGGGGTGAATTGATTTATTTTAAAAAATCATCTCTTGGATTTTAGAATTTGAAACTGATTATTTTAAAGCAAGTTATTAAAGTTTGAAAATAAAACTTTTTAACAATAAAATTTAAACTTGCAGTAAGTAAGCAGCGGAAAATAAAATGACAAAAAATTTTATAGTGGTTCGGTCAAACTTGATCTACATCCACTCTCTGAAACTCTCTCTTCAGGTATTGCACTATTACAAAAGTGTCTCTCCTTTTGCCCACACAACAAAATGGAGAAGACTTCACAAAACTCTCTTCCACCAATCCTCGGTGAGGCAGAGAACCGTCGTCCTTTCACACCCTCCAAGTGTAAGCAGAGAACATTCGTCCTTTCACACCCTATCAGTATAGACAGAGTACATTCATCCTTTCACACCCTCTAAATATAGGCAAAGCACCTTCGTCCTTTCACACCCTCCAAGTGTAGGCATAGTACCTTCATCCTTTTACACCCTCGAAGTGTAGGCAGAGTACCTTCATCCTTTCATACCCTTCAAGTGTAGGCAGAGTACATTCATCCTTTCACACCCTCCAAGTGTCGGTAGAGAACCAGATCTTCTTCAAAGATCTTCTCATGAGCAATCTAGAAAGATAAGAGGAAGAGTGAAAAATATAAATCACACACAAAGATCCTTACCTTTGAGTAACATTGTGAACCCTTCACATTCCACTAGCAAGAAATCTCTCTTAAACACTTTCTCCTTCAATTGCCCTTGAAAAATCACGAAGACCAGAGTTTTTACATTAGTTTTTAATGGACCTTTTATACGAAAGACACGAAAAACCGTCCAGAAAACTGAAAATTTCAATTTTGAGCATACATGATCGTACTGTATGATCGTATGTTCTTACGTATGAACATTTCAAATACTGTTGTGTATGAACCTATTGTGAATTAGTATGAAATCATTTCGTATCCGATCATCGTCCAATACGAACTAAGTTCAACCGAGATAAACATTATGAAATTTTTCAAATTTGGTTTGTACGAAACGTCAGGATGAAATGAGTGAGAACGAACCCGAGAAGTTCGTCCTTGTACAAAACTGGGATCGTCCCATACGATCCATAGTTAGAAAAAAATTTTTCATGCGACAACAGACCTGAGCCGTTCGTCCTTGTACGAAGCTTGGATCGTCCCGTACGATCACAATCCCGAGATGTTCGTACATATATAAAATTGGGATCGTTCAATATGATCCATACTTGGAAAAATTTTTTTGTGCAACAACATACATGAGCCATTCGTCCTTGTATGAAGCTTGAATCATCCTCTATGATCACAATCCAGAGATGTTCGTACTTGTATGAAACTAGGATCGTCTCATACGATCTATACTTAGAAAAATTTCATTTCTGTTCGTTTGACTGCTCGTAGGGAAAATAACTGATCAGATCATCCAGTACGAAGGAAAATCATACCGTACGATCAGTTTTAAAAACCATGAATTTTAAACTCTCCCCCGGGGTGTGTGTGCTCAGTTACTCAAATACAATCACACTATCTCAAACTCAATAAAATGAAAAATACAGACTTGAATTACAATAAATCCTAAACTGATTTTGATTTGAAGTCTTCAACAATCCGGAGTGATTTTCTTAAAATATTAGTACACACAAGAGCAAAATTATTCTTTCAAAATATGTTAGGAAAAAATAATAATTAAATCAATAATATTTGAAATCATCAAAAACATACATGTTGCAAGAATATCAAACATGCAAAACTAAGTAGCAACTATCTCAACAAAAGTGCCACCCGAACCCGTAGTGCCCTCTAACGATGAAGTGCCACTACCGGACCACCGCCTGACACCGGAGTGCTGTCGAACCACTACTTGAGGCCTGAACTTTTGCCAGACCACCACGTGACGCCCGGAGCTCTGCCGGAGTACCTCCATACTACTACAGTCTTTCTGACCCCGATCTCCTGCCAACTATGATTTTTCTAACCCTAGTCTCATACATTCTTCAGTACTTCCGACCTTCATCGCCTACTATGGTCCTTCCGACCTCCCTCGCCAGAAAACGGTCTTTCTGACCACCCCACTCTCCTGCTGACTACGGTCCTTCTGATCTCCGTCGCCCACTACGGTCCTTCTGACCTCACTTGCAAGACAACGGTCTTTCTATCCCCAGCCTCTTGCCGACTACGGTCCTTCTGACCTCCCTCATCCACTATGTTCCTTCTGACCTTCCTCGCCAGATAACGGTCATTCTGACCCGTCTCCTGCCGACTACGATCCTTCTGACCTCACTCGTTAGACAATAATCTTTCTGACCCCAGTCTCCTACCGACTACGGTCCTTCTGACATTCGTCGCCTACTATGGTGACCTCCCTCGCAAACTATGGTCTTTCTGACCCCGGTCTTCTGCCGACTACAGTCCTTCCAACTTTCGTCTCCTACTACGGTCTTTCAAACCTTTTTCCTATCGACTATGGTATTGCCAACCAAATAAATATGTCTATGTTGATTATTGTGCTCCCACCATATAATGCGCTCTATATGATATTCATTTGTGACATTAAGCCAAGGCCTTTCCCAAAGAAGGGTCTCATTTGTAATCAACTATAAAGACTAGTAGGTTCTTTCAAACTGGGTCAGACCCTGTGGTTTTTCCCCTTTTCAAGGGTTTCCACGTAAAAACTCTGGTATCTCTTATAAATGTTGCACCCTATCTCTTTCATCTGCTTGTGTGTTGGATCTTCGTATAACACTAAGACGTTAAACTATATAACTTTCTACCGCCATGAATATTCCATGACGCAACAATTATTAATATATATATATATATATATATATATATATATATATATATATAAGCATAAATTCGAATTAAATCCAACTCGAGACATCAGGTGGCTCGAGGTGGACCGCACTAGGCTTGAGGCAAAACACGATTACGCATGCTGACTCCTATGCATAATGCGGGACTCGGTCAGATGGCGTGGAGGTAGACGACACGCACGGTCGCTGAAGGCGAACAACGCAGAAGGCGGATCGAACTGCCAAGGACCGCAAGCCGACTCAAACTTATTTACGGTGGGACTAATTCAAATTCGAGCTCACTTTTAAGCTTGACTCGAGCTCGAGCTCGAGCTCAAATTCAAGAGGGCTTTTCAACTGAAGAGCCGAACTCGACTAGTCTACAACTCCACCCTCCTCTGCTCCCAAATCCGACCCAAATACAACCCGATACTAATCATCAGATACTTTCAGTTGGCTGGGCTGCAGATATTTCAGATCGGTCGCTTTCTAGCCCACATCTCCCTTCTTATCCACTCCTCAAAATTTGTCTCGTCCGCGCTTTCTCTAAATAAAATAAAGACTACCGTTTCCTTCCGTTCCTCATCATAAATTACCAGAGACCAAAGGTAGAATATCTTTCATTTTCTTCATCTCCAAGATAAACCTCTAGAAAACCCAATTGATCTCCGAAATGCTTCGATGTCTCGCATCTCCGCCGTCTCCATCGGCACTTTTGTTGGAGTCTGCTGCCGGCGATGTCTCTCGTAGCCGTCCGGGGAGGCCGATGGTGGCGTGTTGCAGCGGGCAGAGGAGCAGCGCCTCAATCCCTAAGCTTGAGCCTTTCAGCCGGAGCAGGATCGACCGGAGGCTGAAGGACCCTCCCTTCTTGCAGAAGTCTGAGGACGAGCTCACTGGTTCACCTTTCGCTCACGAAATCATATTATTTTATTTATTCTTTTTGTGGTCTTTTTTCCTGTCTTTCTATGAAATGAATTCTGTCTTCCTTTCTTTGTTTTTTCTGTCTTTACTAATCCTTGAGATGTTAAATATTTTAAATTGATTGGCTGAATAGATTATATAAATATAATAAAATTTTCTGAAACTTTTTTGATGCAAGTTTACGGATTTCAGGGACCTTGAATGTTTGATGATGCAAATTTGGATGCCAGATCTTGTAAATTGTAGGTAAACATAATTATGAATGGCAGAGTAATACTACAATTAAGCGTATGATTTGTGCAGTCAGTTTTATTTTGAGACCATTGAAATGATTTATTGACGAGGAAAATTCTTGTATGGAATCACTGGCGTTGGTAAAGACACCTGGAGGGGTTTGCTAGTGAGGAGAAAAAATACAGAGGGGATTGTAACTTTTCATGCGGCTTGGATAGATCCCATAAATCCACTATGAGCAGTGTTGGGGAGAGATGAGGAGTAGTAAACACCACAACGATGAAACAGACAAGAAAGTAAAAGCATTGTAAAAATAAAGGACACCAATTAACGTGGAAAAACTCAAAATAGGGAAAAAACTACGGAGCCACACTACACCAATAAATCCACTATGAAAATTGGGAGAAATAAGTTAAGATCTCACGGAGCCACACTACATCAAGAAATTCACTATAAAAATTCGAAGAAAATAAACCCAAGGGACGTAACCCTTTAGAAAAACGAGAAAGAAAATCGTCCAGTCCGTCTCGCAACACTACAACGCTCAAAATTCTGTCTTGCACCGCTACAGCGCTATATTTATACTGCTACGGTGCTCTGCTCTCTATCGTTCAGCGCAGGGTGCTTGGGTACACAGCGCCGTGCGTTGTACAGGGAAAAAAATTTAGATTCCACACCTAACAAGCATATCTCAATAATTTATGATTTATGGCTGAAATTGGGAACTTAATGAACCCGCTTAAGATCATTTGGCTTGGCTTGACCTAAATCCTGCCAAAATGAAGGCTGAATCCATAAACAATAAATATTGGCAAGTTTTAGATTTCTTATAGGGAAAGAAGTGATTTTTAGGTTTTTAATATGCTTATTCTGATCAAGAGCTTTGTTTTCTATTTCAGTATTGATATCTTCGCTAGCAAAACCTACATATGAACTGCCTCTGAAAGCTTTAATAGGTCCATGAATTATTTCTGTAGTTTCTATATGGCTAATCTCATATGAATTGCCTCTCAAATGATTTAATAGATCTATGAATTATTTCTGTAGTTTCTTTATGGCGTATCTAAATAATTATGGATTTTGTCGGACGTGAGGTTTGAATAATGGTGTTCTTTTAAGATTCATTCCAATAATGTGTTTAACGTGATTTTTTCATGTTCCTTACAAACTAGGGTAATTTGTTTAATTTTCTTCTATTTTGTGTAGGGAGAATAAGGAGGATCTACATATGATATTTATTGATTTAGAGAAAGCTTATGATAATGTTCCAAGAGAAGTGTTATGGAGAGTTTTAAAAAAGAAAGTGGTTAATAATGCTTATACTCAAGTCATTGAGGATTGTATGCATGAGCTATTACTTGTGTTCAAGCACAAGGAGGTTGGACCAAATATTATACTATTTCAGTTAGATTACATCAAGGATCATCTTTAAGCCCCAATCTTTTTTCTTTAGTCATGGATGTTTTTACTAGACATTTGCAAGAGGATGTATCCCGGTGCATACTTTTTGTTGATGATATTCTTCTTGTTGATAAGACTAGAGACGGAGTTGAAGGTAAACTTGAATTATGGAGGTCAATCTTAGAGTCTAAAGATGTTTGTTTGAGTAGATCTCAAACCGAATACATGGAGTGTAATTTTAGTAGTAATAGATCTTATGTGGGATTGTGACTTTGGGCGATCAAGTCATTAATAAGAGTACACGTTTTATATATCTTGAGTCTGTTCAGAGTGATGATAAAATAGATGGGATATTATTAGTATGTGGGCTCCGAAAATTTCCAATTTTAGGGATGTGTGATCCCAGGGGAATTTTTAGAAGGCAGATTGGGTTTGTAGATAAGACACTACCCAGAGATTTCACCCTCATTTGGTGAGGACTTTTTGATCTGAGTTCTGGTTTCCTATAGGCGCAAGCCCCTATAGTTAATTACCCCTCCCAATAATAGGAGAGAACTTTCGATTAAGGCTAGTCGTTAAAGGAGGTCGAATAGGTTATAAACCTATCGTATAATAGCAATAAATTTAGGGTTTGATTACTATCGTGAGTGAGGCGGTGAGCGAATCGTCGTGAGGTGGGACCGACAGAGGCGATTGTGTCGTTTGGGTATGTCGGTCGGAGGAGCGGTTTGTCCGATCTGGCGTGCAGCAGTTACAGTCAACATAGTACAATTAAAGTTAGATGGTTGAAGTGGAGAAATGCATCGGGTCTGTTGTGTGATAGAAAAGTACCCCTCAAACTTAAGGAAAAATTCTATAAGTTGGTTATGAGACTTGTAATGCTTTATGGTGCAGAATGTTAGTCATTAAAAGAGAAACATACAATTAGTTAATTGTTGCAGAGATGAGAATGCTGAGGTGGATGAGTGGCTTTACTTTTAGAGGTAGAATGTGAAATGAGCATGTACATGAAAAGGCTGGATTAGCTCTAGTGGCAAATAAGATTAGAGAGAGTCACCTTAGATGATTTTGGTCACATAAAATGTCGGCCATTTGAAGACCTAGTTAGGAGAGTAGATGTATTAGATTTGGCCAATGTTAAGAGGTAGAGGTAGATCTAAAAATCTTGGTTAAAAAAGATTAGAAATGACCACTTTTTATTAGATTTAAATGAGAATTTGACTCTTAATAGGACACAATGAAGAAAAAGAATTAATGTATTTGACCCCACATAGTTGGATACTTGATGTTGTTGTTGTTGTTGTTTAATCTTCTTTGTTTTCGGGTCATTCTTCCATGCCCTAGAAATAATGTGTTTGTTTAAAATTTTGGTGAAAACAAGCAATAGATAATCCTTGAAGGGATTAGATGGTTAATAATCATAATCCCCAAAATTTGGAGAAATGATCAGAATGTTATTCTAAGGGTGCATTTTGTTGCCTGTAAGTAGAGAACTTGTCTTACATTAGAAAAAAAAAATTATCATGGTGTTTTGATATCATTGTTGTCAAGATGGGCCTTGCCTTGAAATCACTACATTTATTTTGATGTTAGTGTCATGCATGAAAACTTTATATTGCACACATCTAATAATAAATTTAATGATTTTCAAATCTATCCTAATCAAAATTTTTATTATGATATCCTTACAAAATTTTTTTTTTCCTTTGCAGAATTGTAAAATTTACTAGAGTTTCTTTTAATTAGATGCATTTCAAATTTGGATGCTTTTAAATTCTATAAATTTCTACAAATGTAATCGCTACTCCTTCAAACACGAAATGCATAAAATTGAAACACAAATAGGTTGAATGTTCATCTTTCTGTCTTCATTGTGTAGTTATATTCTCAAGCCTTCTATTTTTCTGAATGTTTATTTTCTTATCTAAATTGTAGTCACCCATTTTCTGCAAACTTTTTCCATTTCCAGTTTACTGCTCAACTCTAGAGGGGGACAAAGCCTACAGCTGCTGGATGGCTTACTTTGAACTGAAAGATCTTCAAGTATGTTTCATATGAAGGCTTCATTTGGTATGGCTTTTCTCTTGCTTTCTAAAATAGCTTTCTAGTACAAAAATTTCTTGAATTTGAATTTTTTTGTACTAAAAAAGCTGTTTTAGAAAACAGTACGAAAGTTGCCCCAAACGAAGCCGAAATCTCTCAGTCATGATAACAGTGCTATTTTGTAATTTGTAAACTTTATTTGAATAAGCACAGGAGGAAATGCCAAGAGAGCAAGTGGAGAAGTTTGTAAGGCAGGCTGGGGGCGTAAAATCTCTTATTGGCTGCTTGCATGGGCTAACTGCAATGCTAAAGAAGGATTCTAAAGACCAGAAAAAATATGTTGCAGGAAACTCTAAGGCAGAGAAGAAGGAAACAGCCTTCCATGTACCAGATGGGATCCCCAAGACTAAGCAGGAGCTGGAGGAAGAAGAGAATGGGAAAATGGCAGATTCATCGTTCACAAGGCTTCTAAGGAGCATGGCAAGGGCACCTGCTTGGTATTCTTGAGCTCCAGATCATGAAACTGGTTGAATTTGTGTTTCAGAGAGATGAACTATTAAAGCTTTGTTGTAAATAGGAATGATAAGGCTCTTACATGTTGTTTGGTTGGTTTGTGCTATAAAAATGGCTTTTGTGAGTGGAGATGGAGGGGTAAGTGTGAGCAATGTTGATGGTGGTTGATATTTTTCAAATGATGTGGAACTATAGATCTTGGTCTCCCCTTGCTTTCGTCTTCCTCACGTTTTCTATACAGTTGTATTAAGATTTTGTTTGAGACAGTTTTTTTATCATTTTTTTTAAATAGTCTTTTAGAAAGCAATCAGAAAGCTGTTCAAAATTAAAGATTTGTTTGGGACAACTTTTTTGCTACTTTATATATCTGCTTTTTAGTATAAAAATTTTCAATCTAAGAAAATTTTGTACTAGAAAGTTGTTTTTGAGAAAAAAGTAAAGAATTCGTCCCAAGCAAAGTCTAAGTCTTCATTGAAACAAGTAAAGAAGGCAAACAATTATAGGATTTTATTAGATCTTTGTATGAGCACAACAATTTATATGATTCTGAGTTCTTAAGAACTCTACATCCATAAGACAACCTCGATTGTAATTCTTATATTAATATTTGTGAATGACATATGCAAATGATTTTAATTAGAAAAATTAAGAATGAAACTTTTCAATATGAAAGCAAACAAAAAACTCTAAACCGTAATTTGCAAATCTTTTTTCAAAAACCTTTAGAAAGAAAGATATATCAATGATTCAAACTTATAGCCAACATTGCAAAGATATAGAACTTACAGAGAACTTGAACAAGAAAAATTGAAAGGACCAAGCAAACCAGTCATGTCGACTTCTTCTTCTTCCTTGAAACAAACCCTAGAAAGAGAGAAATAAGAGAAAATTCTTCTCTATTTCACATAAAATTTATCTTCTCTTTCGATCGAGAAACAAGAGCCCGCAAGAACAAGCCCTCGGTTCTTCTCTCCAACCTAATTCCCTTCAGTCCTGTCCTCCAACCGACCGCCTTATAATGGATAATTTGTGCATGTTGCTCTTATAGTAAGCAAGAAAGATTCCCTTGTTGCAATAATATCCTCATTTCTTCCTCCAATTAGGTACATCTCAAGATGGTTTGATAATAATCACATTTAAATCTATAATTTTAGGTTTCATTTTGAATGATCTTTTTACTGCTTCTTAAAATAGTTTTTTAGTATAAAAATTTTAATTCTTGAATTAAAAAGCTGCTTTAAGGCTTTGTTCGGGACGGCTTTCTTCATCCTTCTTAAAGCGGCTTTTCAGTACAAAAATTTAATTTTTTTTACCTAATCGCTTTAAGAAGCAGGAAGAACGCTGTCCAAACAAAATCTTTGTTGCAGTCCATAAATTTTGGCTTTATTGGGTGAGACCGTTAAGCATTTTCTTCATTGTAAAATTATGAGTGCGGTTTAAAAATTAAAACAGTAACAATATTATCCCAAACAAAATCTAATGTTACAACAGAGGAGTTATGATATTCTTTTATAGTATTAAAAAGAACCATTATTCAAAGAAGCAAACTGATAGTTATGAAGTTGGTTGCCATCATTTTTGTTTGTGGAGGCCCTATCCTTAGCTTTTTATGCCATATTTTTCTTTGGCTATTTTTTTTTGGTTCAAGGTGGGACTTTTTGTATCAGGCTTTATTTTGTTATCAATAAAACATCTTTGTTTCTAAATGAGCTCTAACATTATATGATTAGACACTACATTTAATATTTCAGAAAAATGTTCGTTACCAACGAATATTTTGACGGATTTTCAGCAAACTTCCAATGAAACATTTCTAATAGATTTCCGACATATTTTTAAAAGAGGAAATTTTTAGGCTAAGCATCATTAATAGCGTAATTATTTGATTAAGCACGCATAAAAAGTTTTAAAATTAGGCATAATCGCTCGTTCAACTGGGGATTATACATGCATGTGTAAATATCCCATTAAAGGAGCGATTGGCAATGCGAGTATGAATTGCCTGTTAGACGTTCGATTTGATTTTGTCCCGAATCTTTTTGAAATGTGTGCCTGATGCCCTAGCTTCTCCTTTCTGCATTCGTCTCTCCAGATCCCAACCTTACCGTCTTCGCCTCTTCATCGCGTGCAGACAAATTTGTATGGTATAATCTTTATTTTTTTATTGATTTTCTAAGAGGAAGTTTAGATATGCAAAAAATAGATTCCTCATACAATAATGATAAGAAAAACTTGAGAGAAATAGGAGTTTTATGAGAGAGAAAAATAAGGTTAGCTATATCGGAGAGAAGTATAGAGATTTTAATTGATTTTGATGGGAAAGAGGATCATTCACACTTTCAAAGAATTTCCCTTTTAAGGATTCAATATGGATTACTTGATAGAGTATTTTATTTTGAGCAATTTAATTAAAACAATTGAAAGACCAATCTAAAATTTTATAAGCATGGGATATATATTCTAAATCATTTTTATCATGACTTCATAAATTATCTAAATAATTCCAAAAAATATTAAAAACAAAATAGTTAACCTTCTTTAGATTAATTGAATTTAACGATTATCTCGATGAAACGAAATTAGCGTTACCATTATTTTGTAAATCTAGGTATTCAAAATGAGTGTGCGACCACCCTCTTTCATGTTGTTATACGATGGACAGTTATCATTAGATGATAATTTTTCGTATATATATTTGGTGGCAATTGTCGCCCCTTATAAGTTCCATTAAGTCAACTTTGAAGCAGTTAAATGATACGGTTGTTAGAGCGCTAAAGCATGTTGCATGTCATATGATACGATGTGTTGTTGCAGGAGAAGTTCTATCAACGAATAATGACTACAACAATAAAAAAAAATGTTAATTGATATTATGGAAATATTTTAACTCTCATAGTGACATGACAATACAACCTTGCAGAATTGATTTGACAATACAAGTTAGGAAAACTGATTTCATATTACAAATCATATTAACTGATTTGACGATACTAGCCCAGAAAATTAATTTAACAATACAAGCCTACAAAAGTGATTTGATGATAAAAACATGAAACACTGATGTCACATTACAACCCACCTAATTAAAGCTGTATTTTCTTAAAATTAAGCCTAATATAAACTGATATATGATTAATTTTTATTTTTTTGGTAAAACATACTACTTACTACAAATTAGAGAATCAATAATATATATAATTCAAAAAAATTAAGCAAGTGAACTTGTTCATGCATGGCTAATCTCCTATTAAACGGGCGATTATGTCTACTTATAATTTTTTTAATGCATACTTAATCAGATAATTAAGACACTAAGAATGCTTAGTCTAAAAATTTACCCTTTTAAATTTTTTTGAAAAATAATTATATATTTATAATTAAAAAATTAGCTAATTAACTAATTTAAATAAACTAATAATATTAACTAATTTAAATTAAATAATTTATATAAACTAATAATATCAACTAGTTTAAATTAACTAATCCAAATTAATTAATTTAAATTATTAATTTTAATATTTCTACAATTTTTTTTACATGTGAACATTTTTCCGTCAAAAATTCATCGAAAATATATTATTCCGGCGGAAGTTGGCTGGAAAAATCCGTCGAAAATCAGCCATTTTCTTTTGGTTCCCAGATTTGCTTAACATAGAAGCACTCTTAAAATAATCTCCCTTGAAAGTTTATAATCACTAATTCATACTTAAGTTAGAAGCAAGCATTAATAAGCTCTAATTCTATATGATTAAGGACCATTAATTAGTATTATTTATGGGTGATTTTCAACATGAAAATTAGCTATTAATGGAAGACTATGTCAGCCCTGACCTCATATGCAATGACTGAGCCATAATTTAAGATCACCTGAATGATATTTTATGTGCTTAGTTTTTTTTTTATTGATGTTTAGACATCACAGCTAGTAAAGATTATTACGGGCGGAGTTCGGATGTGTGCATAGCAAAAACACAATGATGAATAGTAACTGACCTTTTATTGTGTGCACTCACAAAAATCGGACGGTACTCCCGTCTAGACTTCACACGTAATAATCTATCCACAGCTAAGGGTGCAAGTGAGTGGAACAGGCTTGAGCTTGACTTGTTGACGAGCTCACGAGCTAAGCTTATTGAGTTTTGAGCTCAAGCTTGAGTAAAATTTCGAGCTTGTTGGATTATCGAGCCATTAAACTCTGCCTTATGTTAGCTATTCTTTACATTAATGTTACTGATTTAGGTTTCGTTTGAAGCAACTTTCTTACTATTTTTTTATAGTAGCTTTTAAGTATAAAATTTTTTAGAATTAAAAATTTTTGCACTAAAAAATTATTTTAAAAATAATAAAAAAATTTTGTGCCAAATGAAACCTTAATTCATCTGTTTCATCAATTTGATTGTTTATTTCTAATTTATCTAATTTATCTAATCATGAAATGGGGAAATTATTTTGTGTAGTGTTCGGACTGGAAGAATCATAAGAACATGTGAGTGTACACAGTGTATATACTGATTTGATATATACTATGTACAAATATGTACATACTCACATATCTGAATGGTTCTTCTCGTCCGAACTCATCACAGAATAATTTCTCCATGAAAGATTCAACACTCTTCGGTAGCTTATCTCCTTGAATAAAATAATAGGTAGCATAGATTCATTGACCATTGATTGACTTGATTTTTATTGACCTGCATATTGATAGCATCGCCGTGCTTTGACTTCAGTTGTAGGCTTTGGTGACCTGCTGGGCTTTGTAAGCACATTATATGTGGTTAAAATTTTCAGGTCCGAGCTTGGCAACTGGAATGGAGTTCGATCAGAATGTCAGACGAATCCTTTCACTATTGATTTCTGGGGCATCACAAAAACTATTTTAAAAAACAATAATTTTTTTCCCTAACGAAGCTTAAGACTTTATTTTGGACAACTTTCTTATTACTTTCTAAAGGAGCTTTGCAGTAAAAAAAATTTTGAACTAAAAATTTTTATACTAAAAAGTTATTTTAGAAAATAATAATAAAGTTATCCCAAACAAAGCTTAAAGCTTCTTTAAAAATAATTTTGAACATTTTCAAAATTATTTGATTTATATTTTTAATATTTAGGCTAATTAAAACTTTGTTTGAGACGATTTTCTTACTACTTCTTAATGTTTCTTTTAAATATGAAAAGTTGTTTTAAAAAGCAATAAGAAAGCCGTTCCAAACGAAGCATAAGGTTTCGTTTGGAACGACTTTCTTATTTCTTCTTAAAACAAATTTTTAATTAACAATTTTTAATAAAAATGTTTTAAGAACCAGTAAGAAAGTCATCCCAAACGAAGCTAAAGATAAACTCACACATCACATTTACAAGATTTGAATTCAAGACATCTTGATTAAGAAAAAATTATGACGTGCGGTCATCAGATGTCATTTGAAGGCCAGTATGACGTACTACATCACCAATATGATATATAAGATTACTTTATAGCATTGTATATCAGATGAAGTGGCGCATTCTGATTGGCTTTGAACGGGTATGTGACTGCATGAAATAATCTCTAAAGTTTTCAATCAAGTACATCAATTCTCTCAAAACATAAAAAAGAACAATATTTTGACGTAAGCGCTTGCATCAGCAATGTTCGCTTTTTCCCCACGTGCTCCAAATTAGAAACGTCTGATTAAATTATTTTATATTTATTTTTTGGGTAGCTGAGGGCACGTTAATACTAAAATATTTATACGGTGGATCGAAGTCCCTAGTGACCGTTAACATATATATATATATA